GCCACATGGAGGAAAGAGTTGAACTCTACTGTTTCGGCTCGGGTGGTCGGACAGGAACGACTAGAAAGAACTAGCTCGAAAGGAAGCTGTAGTTGGAAGCCTTCTAACCACAAATACAAATGACTAGCGATTAGGTGTACTTGTCCTTAACCACCCATGGTTCAGTACACCCACTCTCCCAGCTGCTTGTCAGACGATAACAGAATTCACGAACCTATATATAAGGGATTAGTACATTTTAGGGTACACATTTTAGGGTACACCTCTTAACCCTGAATTATTTTGTTGAAGAAACAATATTTTTAGTACAACGTGTAGGATGGAGATTCGAATTCACAATTTATTGGCCACGTACAACGTACCTTAGTTGAGTTATTCTCAAGTGGTTAGAATATTATACTTTAATTAATTAATTTATTTTTATTATCAAATAGTTCAGTGCAAGAAAGGCCCCCACACAATGGAGATCTTGTAGGCAAAACAATAGATAGGAGTGTGAAAGGAGAGACGAGGTTAAAGCCAACTTCTCCTCATTTTCAATTATTACGGTATATTCTAATCACATTTTTTTAATACAACATGTCGAGTTGGGTGGGAGAGCGAACTCACAATCTCTTAATTAGAGAATATTAATTATCGTTGAGCTATATTCTCGCTTTGGCTATTCTAATCACATTCATATTATAGTTTTTGAGTAAGTTATTTCTTTGATTTATTCCAAAATACACGACAAAAATTCTACCATTACTAATAATATTTTACCATTAAAAATAGTTAAGATAATAATAGACTACAGTACCATCAAAACTAGGCAAGTTTTACTCTGCTCAAATTTTTGATTGACCTAAAATAATAATCCAATCCAAATTGGCTTATACTCTACCTACAATATCTTTAAATACAAACCAGTATCTATTTAACAATTCATTCTCTGTTATCAAAACGAGCATAATTCAACAATAATTTAAATTATCTCCAACTAAAAAGTCGTGTGTTCATTCTATTATCTCCTGTTGTACTCGAGAGAGAAAAAAAATCACTCTCCCTTCGTTGAAAACCTTTTTTTTCCTCTCTCTCATGGGGGTGGACCCACACACATGACCAATTTCCAACGGCGCTTTATTGGTTTTTAGGCCACGCCATATGTACTATGAACTAGTTTTTTATTTTCACCAATCCCCTTATCCAAACCAAACATACTCTTCAGTTTCACTTTATTCCTCGAATCTTAAAATCTGCTCAAACCAAGCTTGCGTCTCCCCCTCTTGCTTCAACCCCTTTCTTCCATCCTAATAATATGTGTTATGTAACTTTAACCCAAAATGAAATAAAAAAATACTAATAAAATAAAGAATCGATAAAATAATATTCACGTGTATGTGAATAAATTTATTCAAATTTCACTTTTTTTCACACGTTAAAAATTCATCGATTATTTTGATCGAGTTGAAGGGACAAAAACTACACAAGTCCAAGTTAAAATATCGTATCAACATCCGTCAATATTTCAATATTCTTTTTCGAAGGAAGAAAAAATATTTCAATACTCATTTCTAACAATTCATAGACTAAATCATTTTCCATTTTATCCTTTGGGGTAATGGTTTACTTAAAATAAATTGTATTTATGTAGGATTTTAATAAATCATATGATTAGTACCCTATTGTATTCCTCTACTCTATTGCCTTTTAAATTGTAGAAATCAATATATACAGTGAAAGAAATTTAAGAGGTTATACGGTATAGGATATCAGTTGTAGAATTTTTGTCGTGGATTTCTTTTTGTTTTATTTTCTTGGAATCACACTGCATACCACGTTCTCTATAATTATTTGACGTTTAGTTGACTAACGAAAAAAATTACATAACCATTTTCTAAATAAGCTTTGCTAACATTGACAAATTATACTGATATTATATTAGGAAATTTTTTAACTAAAATTTTTATAAAATGAAAAATAAAAAGTTATTAGAATTTTAAAAAAGAAATAATAAGAAATAAAAAAATAGTTATTTATTAAAAAATATAAAACAATAAACAATAAATAAAAACTAGATTATTTGAATTTTCATGTTTCTTATTTTTTTATTCTTTAATCTTTTTTAGCATGTATATAAAAATTAATTGCGAAAAACAACGTATAGATTATCAATAAAATATAATAAAGCAACATTTAAATTTTAATTTATTAATTCAAATAATCTTCATTAATTTTGTTTGGGCTTTTCGCCACAACATTTCTATAAATATATAATTTATATATTAGATATGTTAGTTAAAAGTGATCAATTATAAACTATTGAAGTTTGAAGTTACAATTAAACTCTGGTTTACTAATTCAAAAATTTACATTAACAGTTCATTGATATGTCTGTAAAATCAAGATCTCGACATTTCTATTGATATCAACAAATTTCGAACCGAATTTATGGCTTTTCTGATGTTATTTTTAGGACCCTCAGATAATTTTTTTTTTTCCTAACGTTAGGAAAAACCCACTTATCCCAACATTTTAGGGACAACGTTGGGATAAATAAGCCCATTTTCTACGTTTTTCAAAAGACCTCAATTCTGAATATATTATCATATAAATGATTAAAGAACACATAAGGAGTAAAGGGAGAAACCAATGATTATTTGCATGGCAGTCAAGCATTTGGTCATCTCGACAAAACCACAATTCCTGTGCAAAAGATACAAATCTCGGGTTATGTATTAAAAATAATAATAATAAACATTCCTCTAAAAAATAATATATATAAATAAATAAATCATGACATCTCCCATTAAATTCCATGTACTAGTGTCCAACCCCATCCCCATGTTACCCACATTTTTTTAATGTTGTCCTCTCTAATTTCTTACCTAGGTCACTTACCATATTTTATTTAAACTAACTTTACCTTTTCTTTTATAACAAATAATAATATTATATATATATTTTTAAAAAGCAATCTTATTATTTCATAGAAAATACTTACCTCCTCATCGTTGAGAGGAACCTACAAAATATTTGACAACTCATTATTTTTTAGAAAAAGTTTATGTTTTTACATTTTTCTATGTTAGTTTTGTCAAACACTTAAAGGGTGATGAGACGAGTATTTTCTTTGTTTCATTTATATATCTAAACTAGGAGTGTTAAAAAATTTGATAGTTCGAAGAAATGGTAAACTCAATCAACCTATATGATTTTGGTTGAGTTTAAATAAATAAAAATTCTATAAAATTGGTTGGTTCAAGGGTTTACCTAAAATATGTTTGAGTTGAATTCAACCAACCTCGAGATATTTTTAATTGTAAAACTATTTCTTTTACTCAACATAAACAAATTATATATAATTCTATTCATTTTAATTTTATTTCATTAGATAATTTTTATGGATTATTTTTTCTAAAATAGCTTTTGAAAACAACGGTTTAAAGTTTTTTGGTGTACCTTTTCACTATATAAATAAACATGACTTTACGGATTTCGACTCAATATTAGACAACATATAAATAAATGTTTATGATACATATCATTTACTTTTTTTTTTGTTATAAAATGCTTTAAATAAGTGACCCAAATCAACCTAACTAAAATATTTCAGGTTAAGTTGAGTTGTGTTTATTATTTAATAAGGACGGTCTGGGTTGAATAAATTTAGAATTCTAACAATTGAGTTGGGTGTAAAAAGTATCTTAAATCAATCCAAGCTAACCCATGCAAAACCCCTCATATCCCAGCAATAACGGTTTAAATGGGCAAGGAGTGATTTCAAATTTCATAATTTTAAATGATGAAAATGATTTCAAATTTCTAAATGGATTGATTCTAAATCATTCAAATTAACTTTTTTTTGTTTAAATGTTCCTGAGAAATGAAAAGAAAATATTTTTATTATTATACCCTTAATATTTTGTAGGATATTATATTATTAATAATGTAATATTGTAATATCAAGCAGTAATTTCAATCATGGAAAAAAAATTTAATCAAATCAGTTTTAATTTATTAAAACGTGCAAATACCATCTTTATTTTAAAAAATAAACTAAAAAACACATAAATAGATGAAGATCCCTCCTTACCTGAATTCATTTACATTGCAGTAAAGATTTTTTTTTCTTTTTTTCTTTTATCAGAGTATTTTACGATATGCAGTACTAATAAAACAAATGCAAAAAGAGAAAATAAGAAAAATCTATCGAAAGAACATAAATAATTAAAGATCCAAACAATATTGAACTAGAAGAAAAATTAAATACACAAAAAAACAAAATAGAAAACCAAACTGTAAGAGAATTAGATGATATCTTTATTAGAATAAACAAAACTATAGAAGACATAATGCAAAAATTGAAACTAACCTTCAGTACGTTTGCTTGATGCTCTGCGTAGGTAGGGTGATAAGTGTAAAATTTAAAAGTTAAATATCTATTTTTTTTCTTCTAAAAATAGAGCAAAATAATGATTTGTTAGGTTTAAAATTAAAATCCTCACCAATCCTAAAAATAATTGGAAAAAAAATGGGATTTAAAGTGATTTAGTATTTCAAATTCTTTTTCTATCTTCTTAACTTGTTTTATTTAACCAAATATAGAAAATTATTTCAAAATCCTTCAAAATCAGAGTTTGGAAACACGAGGTTAAACTGGTTCATTATGACTTACTTTTATCATGCCTTCTAAATGTAATAATTTGTTCTAATTATTCTTGGTTTCGTGACTCATCTTTTAGTGTTCTCCAGAAAAAGAAGAGAAAAAGAAAAAAAAAAAGACTCATCTTTTAAGTAATTTAATACTTAAATATCGACTTTATGACACACAGAAATAAGGGAGCGGGGCATCTAGCCCTAATCTTGGAATTACAATACAGTTCAAACAAAATGGTTACACACTTTACCCTCCACCCGCCGACAGTGAAAACACAATCAAAGGTTAAATTGAGGGTTAAATATGTACATATTTCAAAATTTCTGACTACTGGGTGTGGTGTGTTGTGTTGTGTTATACAATGGGAAGAAATGACGACGCAACTTTGAGTAGTACTTACAGAGGCGTTAGAAAGAGGACATGGGGGAAATGGGCGGCGGAAATCCGAGACCCGACCAAGAAGGCGCAGATATGGCTCGGCAGCTTCGACACGCCGGAGATGGCTGCGGTGGCCTACGACGTCGCCGCCTACTTCTTCCGAGGCCGCCATGCTCGCCTCAACTTCCCGCATCTTGTCGACCTCAACCGCCTACCGTCCCCTCGCAGCTCCAGTGTGGAACACATTCGCGAGGCGGTGCGCGAAGCCCTCCAGGCAATGTGGCCGACATCGCCGGGCAGTGAAGCTTCTTCGATCGCTCCGCTCACCGTCTCACTGTCGCAGCAAGAAATCGAAGCTATGAGGCAGTATCCTATGTACTCACCTGATGTGCAAATGCCAGAGTTTGGCCAAGAGGAGCAGTACTTCTAGATCACTGTCAAGAGGTAAGTAACCCTATTCAATCCTTTCCGTGTATATTCATTTTAAGACTTTCCTTATCTATCTAGTTACATCTTTTTATCTTCTGAATCTGCACCAACAGCAGAAGAATATGGTTCTGCATTGGTGAAGAATAATATGTACCTCGGTTTTGAAATGCCCTTCTCCCGGTAAGAAATTTGTAGGCTGCAAATGGGTGTTCGAGATGGAACGCAACAGTACTGCTGAATTGGTCTCTTGTTACAAGAAACACACCTTAAATTAGTTGTTATAAGGGTTCTCTACAAAGAATTCAATCATTCCGTTGACATCATCTATGAATATAGAAGCTCAAATTCAATATTTGTTTCAATTAATTAATATATAATTAAGATCAGGAAGAACAAATCTAAGTGATGTTTTAGTAGAATAGCCAGCACGAGACAGCTGAATAAGTTAAAAATATATATGATAGAAAAGGAGTTATAGCAAATCCGACTGTCCCCTGCACGAGTAGGAATGAACTCATCGATTAAATCAGACATTGCCTTAGCCTCCAAGTGGTCAAGAATCTCCTCATCCGTTGGATCAAATTTCACTCATTATGAATCCCACCCTTCAAAATTGATCCCCCATTAATAATAATAATAACAGTACACTACAAAATTCAAGGCCTTTTAGAAGATTTTGGGCGACGAAATACTTCATTCTTGTTGTTTGGTCGTACCTTGTTCATATGGTATTTTTCTGAGCTTCTTTCTAGTTTGGATTTTGATCCATTAGGATCAGTTGTAGCAACAATTAGGACCCGGTTGAATGTTTTGAATACATCAAATTGAGAATTTTTTAAATCGCTGAAACATTCTAGGTCAATATATAGTATTGTATGTTAAAATCTTTATGATTTTGAAGGCTGTCTTTTGGTGTTGGTGTTTTCTTGTTCTTTTAGTTTAGCACTTGGTGTTGGTCTTTGAAGATAACATTGATGTATGTGCAACCTTGAATTTTTGAAAGGAGTTGTGAACTGAAAGTGAAATTAGAAAGTGAAAGTTGTTTTAGTGATGGGAAAGCAACAATCTTTCTCATTTCTCTCTTTTTATTTCCTTGCTTTATCCTTCTGACATATAACTCCCCATCTTCTCTCAATCTTCCCATCTCTCTCTCTCTCTCTCTCCCTTTTTCTTTCATAGAAGATCATTGTTGAAGCTGGCTGCTAGCTTTTTGCCTAGAACACCCCAGATCCATTTCTGTGTTCCTCCTATCATAATTGTAGGATTGGAGCCTACAAGGATATATTTATTTATAGACTTTTTCTTTTATCTGTTTTGGAAGAGAAGTGTGGGGTGGAAAATTGACCAAGACCCAAAAAGTTTTTGGGTTTGAAAAACTGACCTAATATTTGAAGACATATTATGAAAATCATTCTAACATATGTCTATGTGCCCGATGGTAAGGATCTCATATTAAAAAGATAAGGAACTAACAAGGATTTATAATAGACATGAGTTATTCCTCTTCTTGCCAATTTATTTTAAGATGAAACCTCACCATTATTAATATGGTATCAGAGTCCAAAAAGCTCAAATGAACATCCAGGGAGTGATCGTCATTTGTTTATGTATTTTTTAGTTTATTTTTTTAATAATATAATATCAAATTAATAAACACAACTCAACCTAACCATGAAATATTTTAGTTTAGGTTAATTCTAGTTAGTCGGGTCACTTATTTGAAGTATTTTATAACAAAGAAAAAGAAGTAAATGATAATATTTTAAACATTTATTTATACGTTGTCTAATATTTAATCAAAATTCATAAGTTGGTTTTTATTTATATAGTGAAAAGATACACCCAAAAACTTTGTTTTTAAAAGTCGTTTTAGAAAAATAATTCATAAAAATTATCTAATGAAATAAAATTAAAATAAATAAAATAATATATAATTTTTATTTTGAGTAAAATAAATAGTTTTACAATTAAAAATAACTTCACGTTGGTTCAATCCAACCCAAATATATTGTAGCTAAACCCGACTCGAACCAACTAATTTCGTAGAGTTTTCATTTATTTGAATCCAACCAAATTCCAATGGGTTGGATTGTTCGGATTATCAACTTCTTCAACCCCTAGTTTAGATAAATGAAATAATAAGATTCTTGTTCGAAAAAAGATGATAATGTTATTATTGGTTGTGAAAAATAAAATTTGTTTAAATAAAACATTGATTAGAAAGGACAACATTTAAAAGTGGACGATAATGGCGGGTAACATGAGATGAATAGTACNTTTTTCTTCTTTTTCTTCTTAAGTACAGATTCCGAGATGACCAAATGCTTGACTACTATGCACATAATCATTGGTCTCAGCTCTCTTTACTCATTATGTGTTGTTTAATCATTTATACGATAATATATTGATAATTTTTTTTTTGATCGAGATAATTTATTGAGAATTGAGATTATTATGTGTTGTTTTTCCCGATCACTTTTCATATACATACTAAAAAAAATTAAAAATAAAAAACTAAGAAACATAAAATTTCAAATTTAGGTTCTATTTATTGTTTATTGTTTTCTCTTTTTTAATAAATAATTATTTTTTATTATTTGTTAAAAATAAAATAAAATAAAATTATGGTTGGTAACTATTTCTTATTTTTTATTTTTCTAAAAATTTCAATTAAAAAATTTTATAATATAATTTGTCAAAGTTAGCAAGCTTATCCAGTAAATAATTGTGTAATTTTTCTTCGCTAGTCAACTAAACGTCTTGGTATGTGGTGTGATTCCAAAAAAAAAAAAAAAGTTTAAAGGAAAAATAAAAAAGAAATCCACGACAAAAATTCTACAATTAATATCCTATACCATATAATCTCTTAAAATTTTCACCGTATATGTTGATTTCTACCATTTAAAAGGTATTGGAATAGAGAAATACAATAGGGTACTAATCTTATATGATTTATTAAAATCCTACACAAATACTATATATTTTAAGTAAACCATTATCCACAAAAATAAAATGGAAACTTAAATAATATTAAAGTTTCCGATTCAAATTGATAAAATTAGTAGTTTGAATTTAAAATGAGTTAAACTGAATGCCCTTTCTTTTCATGTTCTTAAAACTATGTATACCCTACCATTCATTTTTATTTTATGAACAATATTTGACTAGCTTTTTCTCATAATAAGTTTATAGAGAAAATGATTTAGTCTACGAATTATTTGAAATGAATATTGAAAGTTTTTGTTTTTCTATCAAAAAAGAATACTGAAATGTTAACGTATGCTAATATGATATTTTAATTGTTGGATTTTTAATGTGTTAAAAAGGTAAAATTTGAAGAAATATATTTACATATACGTKGTAAATATTATTTTTATTAATTCTTTATTTCATTAGTCTTTTTTATTTCTTCATTTTTTTAACTTTTATATGCATTAAAGTTACGTGTGTTCATATATGTTTAAGTTGAAATTATATTTAAATTGAGCAGTTTTTTTCTTAAAGTTGAAGTAATTAATTCATTGGTAAGAAGTTTCATGTTTGTGCAACTATTACGAGAATGATTTCTTCTGTATCTTGTTTATGTTGAGAGCAAGGTTCAAAATATCGATGTCGATAGAAATGTCGAGGTTTCAATTTTACGAACATGTCGATGGATCACATGTCGATGTCGACGGATATTTGGGAAAAAATCATGGAAATTGTGAAAAATAATAAAAATTATTTTAATTATTAAATAATACTGTAATGTTAGCTTAATTAAGCTACAATTGATCACTTTTAACCATCATATGTAAAAATATGGATAACTTACTTATGAAAATGTCATAGAAATGTCGGAATAAGATAATCAAAATACTTTGAATTAGTAAATTGAATTTAATGTTTTTTATTGATAATTAATAATTTATAACCAAATCTAATGTTTTACATAATTGAACAAGATATGAAATATTGATATACACACACATGTACGTATGATGATTATATTTAATGGAATTATGAATTTGAAAATTTTGTAATTAAATTTGAAAAAAGGAGTCGAAAGAAGAAATTTAATGGAATAAAAATATTTAATAGTTAAAATTGAAATAAATAAATAAATTTAAATAATATTAATATTAGAATTAGAAATAGAAAAGAAAAGAAGAAAAAAGAAAATGAAAAGGAAATCATAGTATTAATATTAGAAATAGAAAAAAAAAGGGGGGTTGCCATTTGTAAGGCAGTCAAGGTCTTTTCAACTTTAAAAGGAAAGAACGAAAAGGAAAAAGAAAAAGAAGCAAAAGCAAATGAGATTTTGGGGAAAGTAAATTAAAGGGTCTTTTGACTTACAAAATAGAAAAAATTAAGTTAAATTTTCGGGAATCGGCACGTGGCATCTCCAACTAATAGGAGAAGTGAGATGAAGAGAATAAATGAAAAATTGAAGAGGAAGAAAAAAAAAAACAATAAGAGACCGTTACGTTGGAAGTTGGTCATGTGTGGGTCCCACCAGAATTTTTGTCTGGTGGAATATATATATATTTTGAAATTAATCAATAAATAAATGGCTCGTATCTATTCTTTTGCCTACGCGACGATCTCCATGTGAAGGTCATTATGTGGGGCCCTTTTCTTCCAAAATCTCCGCTAACAAAATCTAAAGTATCATTTCTAGGGTGTTCACGGGTTGGGTTGGATTTGATCGGTTTAAAAGAATTTTTTGGACCAATCCAAAAATTCGAGTTGGTTAATTTGTGGACTCGATCAAACCGAAATTATTGACCAACCCAACTCAACCCTACCCTACAATTTTTGGGTTGGGTCATCGATTCCAACAAGAGAGAGCTATTATGCGAACAGAACGGTTAAATGCTTAAAATTCCTAATTGAATCAAATTTCGTAAATTACTTAAATTCCTTGCTGCGAATGGGGCAAGATCCGCGAAGAAACTAAAGACTACATTTTTCAGAAGAAATTGAAGTTTACCTTTTTCATCTTTTGTTGCCTTGCTTCTCCGTCATTCTTCAGTTCATAACTTCCTTGGATTGTGACCATTGATTATTGGATTTCGTTGGTAGATTATGACGTTCGACGAAAAGAGAAGCAAAGGGACAGAGGAAAGGAGATGAGTGAGATTGAGGGAGATGAAAGAAGAGTGGAGGGAGATGGGAGAAGACCAGAGAAGGGGGAGCGAGATGATGGAGATTGAGGGAGGTGAGAGAAGACGAAGGAGGAGGGTTAGAGCTAGAAAAACCTTAATTTTTCATTTATTACAGGGTTCGATTCGGTTCGGGGTGAACTGACCAAAAATTAGTCCAACCCACGAACTGAACTGAATTTTTGGTTCTCAGAAAATTAAACCCAACCCAAACCGAAAGATTTCATAACCCAACCCAACCCGATTTGGATTGGGTTGTCCGCCCCTAATCATTGAGAACTTTTAATGCAAAAAGGTTGAAAGATAAAATCAATATCCCATTTTTTAAGCTTCAACAATAGGATATATATATACAGTGAGTGTGGAGACAATAACAAACTATAACAGACTAATAACAAATATAACAATATAACAAATAAATATAATTTATCAACGGAAGCATTTACTGTAATAATAGATTGTAAATTCGAATATTTATCTCACACAATGTATTTAAAGATATTGTTTCTTCAACAAAATGATTTGTAGTCAAGCTGATTGGAGGTCTAGACGACATCTCGGGATGGGATACCTGTATAAAAAGAGCAGACACTCCAATACTCAAATCAATTCTAGATATGAAATAATCACATCAACTTATCATTCTTAACTCGTTATATGTACATAATTTTTTGTTAGAAAACAAATAGTTTTTTTTTCCTTATTTAATCTAAGCGTTAATGGGGTCTAAAACATTTTAATTGAAAGCTTATCTAAGACCCTGTTTACCTACCAAAAATCATAATGGAAATGAATCGGATCAAATCAATCAGAATGGAAATGTTATTTCTTTGACGTTGTTTACAAGAAATTTTATAGAATCAGAATCAGAACTCATTTGATGTTATTTATTAAAACTGTCAGAAATCGGAATCGGAATCGGAATCCGAATCAGATATATTACAATTATTGGTATATCCCTGACTTCTTTCTAGCTAATCACAAATACATTGTGGTGCTAATTTTTTTAATTACGATAATAATTTATTTTTAATTTATTTTATTAATAATATTGATAGTAAATATTTTTTAAATAATTTATTTAATATTAATAAATAATAAATAATTAAAATTAATTTACATCCATTAAAATACTATTTTATTAGAACCGTCATCATTTAATATAAAATATTATTAAATTTATTATAATAATATTTAATAATAATGTTATTAAATTTTATGATTATAATAATTAATAATAATGAACTATATTTAAAAAAAAATATGATATTAATTAATAATAACAAAATTAAATTAAAAATTAAATATCAAATATTTTATAATAATATCACATCAACCAATAAAAGTGATATAAATTTTTACTAAAAGAAAAATTATTAGTAGTATAAATAAAAAAAAAAAGTATAAAACAATTGAATAAAAAGTTATGGGTATCATTAATCGGGGAGAAAAAGGTAAAAATAGAAAAGTTATTTCAATAAATGTGTGGGACCCAGAAAATAAGGGATGAGAATGAGTTTGATGAACGTGTAGGAGAGAAATGAGATTGTTCCCCTAAGGGAATGGAAATGAAAAAAGTGGGTGAGTCCCACTATTTGATTCATATTCCAACAATTTGGTAAACACCATCAAATGGAATAAAAAAAAATGATTGTCATTTCTTCCTTCTCATTATGTTGAAGTAAACCTGTTCTAAAAGTAATTAATTTTGATAAGTTAGGGAGGGAGTGGCTTTGGGTTAGACCAGTTAAAGCCACCAGATATATAGTACATAGACATAACATAACTTTGAGATTAAAAATTAAATACAATAATAAATGTGAATAATAATATTTAGGTGATTAAACCTATTGAATTTTCTCATAACCATATTATGTTCAGAAATATCCTAATTCTTGTCTATGTTTGAATGTTTCGTTTTTCATTTTAACTTTGTGTTTAAGGTCTGTGCATAAAACAAGTTCTTCACTATTAATGAAATTAATTATTTCACCATAGGTTATGGTTTCAAATGGAATAGTTCCTTGATAGGTTTGCTAATAGTTTTGACGTACTTTTCGGTAAATAATTTTGGTAATCTCGAAAGGAATTTTTCTTTCCAATAAGGGTGATTACAGTCCGTTCGTGTAAAAACCTTATTAAGGAAAATATCTTTATACGATGAGAAATATAGAAGTTTTGGGCAAGTAAGATTTGTAATAATTTCAAAAGTCATTTCCTAAAATCTAACTGGTCCACCTTTAAAACTTGTGATTGTATATCGATGTTGCAACAACTTCTTGAGTTTGACTTATGTGATAACCATCTTACTCAACCTTTGATGGCGGTTAATATTCTTACTTTGTCCTCTTGGAATACATAGTTATCTCATTATCCTTTGAGTTGTCCCATAAATCCACAAGCTAAAATCTTAGCAATTTAATGGCCAGTATTCAAGGGCTGCTAGGGTCATTTATGTTCCATTCACGTTGCGTCTTTCTTTATATGCATAAAAAAAAAGGGTATGGGACAATTATTTTTTTAGTTTTGCACAATATTTAAAATGTCGCTCGACACGTCGAGCAACATATCATCGTGTCAAGATCTTAACATCGACACATGGGGTGAAAATTGTTTTCCCCCCTATCAAGGATATATAAAATATCATCAAAATATCACAAAATTATCAACGTTTCAACGACATTTCATAGTTAAAAAATAAATAAGTGAATAAATTGGGCTCATTAACATGAGCTCAACCCATCCACAATTCAGAAGTTGATGAGTACATTAGTGAGGAGATGGGGTTTTATAGGAGGCAATTTCATAGATGTGGGATTGTGAAGGAGGCCTCCCCTTTTTACATTTTTCTTTTAAATGTATTTACTTTCTTTTTTTATGGGACCATGCAAACACATCCCAGCTTGGTGCAAATGTTCACTTGCTTTTCTAGGATGAGCAAGGGGACAAGCTCCAACTCCTCGGTAGGCGTAGCTACTTCTCACTGGCCAACTTTGGGTAGTACGTCCTCGGAAGGTGGAGAAACCGTACTGGAAAGAGTTTATTCCTCTTCCAAGGCACAAACTGTCGATCCCTTGAGTGCAGAGGTATAACATTCTCGAGATGTTTTCTGCTCTCTTCGGACCATGCCGACTCTGTTAACAATTGAGTACTTCATGACTTGATGCAGAGTTGACGGAACAGCCCGAAGTGAATGGATGATAGGTCGTCTGAAGATGGCATTGTAAGCTGATCTGCCATCAATCACCACTATCTCGGCCATCTGAGTGACTTGGGTGTCACCTTGGTCGATTGTGATAGGAATGTCGATACAACCTTTAGGGGTAACAGACTCCCCAGCAAATTCATCTAAGGGCGTTGGACTTTTCTTCAGCTGTACTCTAGTCCATCCCAATGCTAAGTAAGTGGTAAGGGACATGATGTTGGCAGAAACGCCTTCATCGACTAGGACCCTTCTGGCTTGTACATGGCCAATTAGCGACGAGATCACCAAAGCATCATTGTGGGGCAAATGGACCTCCTCCAGGTCGGACTTTGAGAAGGAGATGAGGCAGATCGACCTCTGCTCCTGAATGGCACAGACTTCACGCTGAGCTTCCCTAGTAAGCTTCTTCCTCTTATTTCTGTATTTGCCCCTACTTGGGCCTCTGAAGATAGTGTTGATGACCGCAAGTCGGTCATCCCTTCGAGGTGGCATCCTTGAGTGCTTCCTCTCTTCTTTTTTTTTTCTGTCGAGCCCGAGCCCAGCTTGCCAACATTTTTCAAGAAGTAGCCATCTTGAATTAAGTCTTTAATCTGGCGCTTCAACTCCCAGCAACTCGAGGTGTCATGGTCGTGGTCACGGTGAAAACGGCATTACCTGTCCATTTTACGTTTCTCTGGATCTCCTCTGAGCTTGTCAGGTCGCTTAAGGAGCTTCTCTAATCCATTCTCCTCGATATTTGTGAGAATCTCGGAGATCAGAATGGTGGTTGGGGTGTACTTCTCATAGGGCCCCCTTCGGTTGGAGTCTGAGTCGGATCTTCTGTAGTCAAATCGGCCCTAGGAGGGTTGAGAAGACGATCCCTTGTCCTTAGACTTGGAATCAGACTTCCCCTTGTCTTGATCTACTGACTTTTTCTGGTCAGACCTTTTATCTGTCCGGCCTAGTTTGGTTCTGAGCAACTCTTGCCCATCTATAACCTTCTTGGCCTTTTGTAAGACCTCAACAAAGGTTGATGGCCCTTCCTCGCCCAGTTTGACTGTCAGAGTTTCATCGGCCAGACCGGTGAGGAAGTAGCACATGGTCGAATCGTCGGAGCAATGCGCAACTTTGAATTGCTCCTCTTAGAAGTGGGTCACGTATTCTCTCAACGTCTTGCCCTCTTTCTGTCGAATGGTGGCGAGATGAGTGGATGTCTTTCTGTCGTAGTGCTGAGAAGAGAATTGATTGATAAATTCCTTCCTTAGCCGACTGTAGGTCGAGATCGACCTGGCTGGCAGCCTTCTGTACTAGAGTCGAGCATTCCCTGTGAGGGCGATCTGGAATGCTTAGCATTTAATGGCGTCAGTCACTGCTTGGAAGCCTATGAGGCCTTCAAAGACCTCCACCTAGTCCTTCGAGTCCTTAGACCCATCATAGGACTTCATGGCGGGTGTTTTGAACTTTGGAGGAATTGAAGCCTCTAGTATGTCTGAGGTGAACGGTGATTCACCCATTTTACAGTCGTCAAAGAGACTTTCTTTCTTTTCGCACTTCGCTTTGAGTCAACTTGCTCGTCGAACTTGTTCTTCATCAGGTCGAATTCTTCCCTCGTGATCACTGCCTCCGGCGTAAAAGGTTTGTACCTTGACTGGACTTTGAGGTCAGAGTTGGAATATTTGCGAGAGTAGGATGAGAAGACTCTGGGCCCCGTGAGGCGTTCCTCTTTTTGTCGACAAGGTGCTTTCTGAGATTGTGCTCTCGTCAGCTATAGTCGCCCCACTATTATCAGCTATGCGCTCATCGTCGTCGGGATGAAGGGGGGATCCTGGTCGTCTCCGTCGTATGGCAGGTCATCTGCTCCGCCTGGGGCCTTAGTTGGGAACCCAGTTCAGTTTGCCGCATCATTTCGTTATAAGTTTCCTCCATTGTGCGCACTCAGTTGCACATGTCATCTAGTTCTCGCTGGAAGGTAGCGAGAACTTTAGGGTCCGCAGCTGACGCGACCCTTCGAGAGGTCTTCTTTGAGATCCTACCTCGACCTCGGTTGGTCTTACTGGGTCTTAGATGTGCAGGAGGTAGGATCATATTCACGTGGCTAGTGGATCTCTGAGGTGGGTCTACCTCTTGCCTTGCCCGTACCTGATCCTTGGCCACCTTGGCATCAAGCTAGCGTTGAGTGCAATTGTTTCCGTTCAGGCCTCTCCGTTCTGCTGTGTTTGTGGAATCTATTGGCTGAACCATCTCGGATCACTTAGTTGTTGGGACGACTTAGATTGTCTTTCCTCACAAACGACGCCAAATGTTTATGCAAGAGTTTGCACAACATCGAATCGAGTGAAGCTCGAACTTGGTCCTTGCTCCGACTTGAAACTTCAAGGGAAGACCTGTACAATAGGGCAAAATCTCTGACGCTTAAGTCAGTAAGCAGCTCGGACTCAATATTAAGTTCGAGGAGAAATTCAATACCTGATGGTGAAATGAGACCCTCTATTTATAAGTTTAGGATCCGACAGGAGTTACGACAGGCGGTTACCTTGGTCGGATTCGAAGTCAGACATGTCGGGTTCGAGCAGATCAAACTCGATCACTTTTCCCGAAATGATAACTTAATTCTTGGAGAAAATGGCTAATCTTCCACCTCGGAGGGTTCCAAGGTAGACCTCCATAAAATGTTCTTTCTGGTCTTTTTCCCAACAGCGAACCGCTATCCTCCACGTGGCGGTCAGGTTTCTTCCCCTAAACAGTATGGATTGGATTGAGTTGATCGTTTCTTCAAGTTATCGGATCTTTAAACACCCATAGGTTAGATAAACTAACAACAATCACATACAATGCACGTGGAATTAAATTTTTATCTTCCAAGTATATTTTAACTGATGTTTAATGAATTTAATTATATATCACATATAAAATAATCTTCAAAATTGTTTAAAAAAATTCACTTTCAAAATTATATTAAATTTTAAAGTTTTGTAATTTTTTTTAATGAAATAATCTCTTTTTTATATTTATTTTCTACGTTATTCTTTCGGTGTATTTATATATTATCTTTCGAGTATTTATAGAATTATTGTAATTTTTAAATTATTTAGAAAATTATCATTTCTATTTATAAAAATATTTTTAAGATTTATTATTACTATAGGTCAATAATCTATACTATATATAACTTTAATTTTAAAATATTTGTCTATAATTTTGAAGGCAATGTTGTAATATTACACTATTCTTCTCCCTCTCTCTCTCTTTCTCTCCTACGAAAATTACACTACCCATCCACATTCCTCATCTCCCTCTTCAAAATTACACCACTCATTCACATTCCTCTGTCTCCTTCTATTACTCTTGCTCCCTAAAAAAGTACACTGATTTACATTAGGAAAAATGAAAATATTAAGATTAAAATAAATAATTAATATATTAATATGAAAATGTAATTTTATACTCTACCTCATCATCAAATAAAATAAATTTATGGATTCTCGAATCTTTAGTGTTTCCCTTTGCAAGAACATAAACTCTCAATTTCCATTTTTTTTAAAGCTTTGATTTTTCTGTAAGAGAAAAACCTTCCTAGACATTTTGAGAGAGAGAAAAATACACAATTTTATGCATGATCGATACTCAGTTTTTCTCATGTTTGTAATCTCACCTGTTTGGGAATGAACATATAATTTCATCAAATTGCACCTCCTCGATAAACTTATCTCTCTAAAAAAAATTATATTGTTGTATTATATATACATAATTATCAATCTCAATTGCACCCGAATGGACACACTACTTCTCTCAAGAGACACCTCCACCCAACAGTTGCTTCCCATACAAGTTTTAAAGGGCAAAATAGGTATTTATTAAAAAGTAGATGGCAAAAATGGAAGGCAAAGATTCTCCTCCATAACCCCATTTATCTCACCTCCGGGATTAACTTATCTAAAAAATATATAAGCCTATTGTGTTATATATAATGTTATATAGAAATAAGGAAAAAATACACCTTTGGTCCTTGAGTTTGGTGTAGCTGTCTATTTGATCCCTGATGTTTCAAAATAGACACTTTTAGTCCTTGAAGTTTGGAATCAGTACCTATTTGGTCCTTCAAATTTTAAAACGAACATTTTTTGTCACTAAAATTTGTAAAATAATTATAAATGGTCATTAAATTATTTTGACCGTTAGTTTGACTAACATCAAAATGATATGTCAGTTAATTTATTTATTTGATAAAATATATTAGTTTAATAATATGTTTAGTGTGACTGGAAATTCCATATTCTTCCCTCCTCTTATTGTTGTCTTGTCCGACGAGCCTCACCACCGCCATTTCCATGCCTCTACCCGCCGTCCCATTGTGATGCCTCAAGCAGATAGACGAACCGCCCGACCCATACATTTCGTCGTGTTTTGCGAACCGACCTTTGATTCTGGGTCGGGTTTCTGCATAAGCTTTTCTCGAAGCGTACCAGATTGTCTTCTCGAACTTCTGGTTCTTCTTTTCCTCTCTGTACCTCAACACTCTCGCATCCAGATCCATTCCACACAATTGAGTCGCTTGGTTGTCAGATCCCGACATTTCTAAAACCGAATGCGCCCCGGTTTGACCTAACGGGTACGACATCTCCAACATAGAATTCCCTTTTAGAACTACTCCAACCTCTAGGGAAGAGGGCGACACCTGAACCAAATTAGAACAAACACGACTTAATTAGTTTACTCGACAACGGCTCCTGTTGAGAACTGAAATCTTGGTTGGGGAGGGCTTCCTCGCAAGAAGCTTTATAGTAAGGGAATGACACAGCTTGTTTGCGGGGCTAATTAAGAAAATTTTTGTTTTAATTGAAGTTGGGGGGGGGGGGGTTGGGCTATTTACGCTGTGGCTCAGGGATTGAGATTGATAGCCAAATGAATTGAGCTTGGATATGCAACAAACTATGTCGAAGCAATTTTCAGGGGTAGAGAGTGGCTTCGTCTGAATCGGGACGACGCTATCGTTAATTGCGCTCTAATTGGCTGGATTTGGATAGTCAAAGTCAATAAAAGAATCCATTTCATTTTCAGTGAAGAAGATATCACCACCACCACCGACGCCTTATTTGATTTTGGGGCCGTCCTTGTGGGTCCAATAAAAGTTGGAGTTGCTCTCCCTCCCTTGCAAATCTGCGGGAGGACTCTTGTCGTCGAAGCTTCATCTTCCCACTATTTAAATCTTCAGAACTTCCTCCTCCAGATTTTTGAACAAGAAACCACACGGCGACGGCGAGGTATGTTCCCTGAAGCAACGAGACGGTGGGTGGAGGCATGGAAATGGCAGTGGTGAGGCTCGTAGTTTGTATTTTGTGTAAAAACAAATGTATATTCAATAAAGATTTATTCAATAAATTTGTTGTTAAATTCATAGCATTGCATTGTCCAAAATCTAATAAACTAAACATCCGAGGTTATACGAGGTATATGTTTGATATACTCCTAATATACAAGTGGATAATGTCTCGTGAATAACCTAAAGGGTCTAT